AAAAATCTTAAAAAAAAAAAAAAAAAAAAGTGACCTTATCAGCAAGGTCTTCCGTGATTTTTATTTTTAACCCCATACCCTTAGTTGCTTTGTCTTTTTCTCCATAGCATTTAAAACCATCATCATCTGGTAAACTATATACTTAATTTTTGATTGTTGTCTGTCCTCTTCATGAGATTGTAGACTCTGTGAAGGCAGGGGCTTTGTTCATCCTAGTAATCCTGTTACCTAGAACTGTGCCTGGTAAATAATAGGAGCTTGGTAAATATTTATTGAATAGGTTTAATATTTAATATTAAACATTTAATATTTAATAAATAGGTTTAAATATATATTGAGGCTATTTCTTCAGATCTCATCACCAAAATAAAATAATTCACAGAGACTTTAATGGACTCTGTTATCTCCTGATGACTTTTTGGGAAAAATAGCTCTCATAAATTTGTACAGATATGGTAATTTGAGCCAAGTAACTGTTTGCTTCATGTAGACTTGGATCTATTAAATGTTATAATAAGTAGTTAATATGTTCTTCCTACTTGGATGAAGGACTTAATTTTCTTGTATATTACACTATTAAAAATAGCACTTACGTCAAGGTCCTGAATGTTAACTTTCTTGTTATCAGTCAGTAATATTTTTCTTTTTTTGTTTTTGAATTTATTTATAGATCTAACAGTTTCAATGCAGATAGAAACACAGGTAAGATTCTTTTATTTCTTTCCTTTAGTTTTATAAATTGGAAAAATAAGCACATACAGTAAAAAATTAGTGTTTTGCTTTATTTTTATAATGAACAAAAACCTGCAAAGTCTGATAAAGGAGATGAGGCCATGTTATGATGTAGCTTCAACATTTGGTTGTTCAAGTATAAGGTCTCTCTTGGAAGCTGTGCTAATACTGTGAATAGACCAAAGGATTTTAGCACTTGGATAAATATAAAAAATAAAACAAACTTCACAACTCAGCTTTTTCAAATACTGTATTTATCAGAGGTTTAGGATTTATAAGACCTAGAGAAGATTAAAAGCATTACTGACATTTTCTGTCATCAAGTTTCTCCACAATGAAAAGAGAGTGAGTAGAGGGTGTGAGATGCTATTAGGAATTCATGTAGTTAACTGGATTTAATATAGTCTCTTTTGGGGGAAGTAAGAGGGCAGTAAATATATTGTCTTTGCTCTTTAACTTTCTGATATACAGACATTTAGACAAATAAATTTGTTATTTTTTGCAGCTGGAATAGCCCTGCAAGAGAAAAGATACTGAAACAAAAATCCTAATATTTGAACTCTCTTGTAAATAGAAATGTCATGGGTGTTTTTTGTTCATTTTGTTTTTTGTTGTTGTTGCTGTTCTTCTACTTAAACATTGTCTCTAGATGTGTTTCCCTTATTTCCATCTAGTAAGCATGTATTTGCTTCTGGGCTGCCAGTGGCTGAATTGTGTTATTCTTTTTATTTAGATAAATTTAACTACACCTTGTGGAAAGGACAGCTTTTAAATAAAGGAAAGCTTTTGTGTTATATTTCTCTGAGGTCAGCCACTCGTGCTTTTTTGCCTATCAAGCTGTAAGTACGTTATGTTATAAGAAAATAGCAATTAATGGTTGCTAACTATTCAGTTTCTTCTCTTGCTTTTTATTCTTATATTTAAATTTTACTTTGGTCCAAAAGAATATAAATGTTGATTTGTTTTAAAAAATTGATAACTTGGGAGACTTAGTTGGCAAAATGAGCCCTCTACTTTTCTGTCTTGGTTTGAGAGTGGGCTAAATAGTCATACACATTTATGGCATAAAACTTTTTCTAAGTGATTTTAAATTTTAAAAGTGATTTTTCAAAGTTTTATCCTAATTAGATATATTTTTCGTTTAGCAATTTGAACATGATAGACTTAAAAGTTATCAGTTCTTTGTTGGAAATGGCTTTGATGTGGTGAGTGAAGTTAAAATTTATAGACTCTTCAGTCCTGTGCAGCATATATTGGAATAGAAAGGTCTGGAATGATCTTTTGCTACTACCCCAGTAAATATAATGGGCCTTCATAAATGTTTGAAGATTAACAGTTCATACTTGAAATTTTAATAAAAGAACAGCCTTTTATTCTTTTTGGTTTAGTAAAATTGGTGTATAGGATTAGCTTCTGGCTTAAAGATGGAAGGTTGGTGATGCTGCCAGTCTTTTTTTCTACTTCTGTATATATCTGGACTTCCCATATCAAATCCTCTTTAGAATCAACTATGATATTAATAAGTGTGCTCTGCTTTCCACCAAGATCCTCATGTGGGCAGGGGAGGGGAGGAAATAACATTACTAGAGTTAAACATATAGGTAAGGCAAATTTCAATTTTCTTTCAGTCCTGAAAAGTTAGATGTTGAAACAGTTATGAGTATTGATCATCTGAAACAGAAAATCCCTCCAGCGCTGTTTTATAAGGAAACATACTTAGGTCCAAGTGAAGGTAAGTAATTTAATTTTATTAAAATATATAAAAAGCAGATTTGATTTAGTATTTACAGTGTGTTTTTTCTTATGTCAGTTTTGAAGAATGGAATGTATTGCAGCCTTTATGAAGTTGTAGAAAAAACAAGAATTGGAAGTAACATGGAGAGTTTACTACAAAAACTAGAGAAAGAAAAACTTGTGAGTGAAAGGTTTTAAAATATTCCTCATTCTACCTTAGAAATAAGTATTTGAATAAGTGATCATATTGTTTCAGTTTATTTCATTTTTGCTTCTGAAAGTACCATAAAGTCTCTTTGTTGCTACTATTTAGGGAACAGTTTTACTATGGTCTTTTTATTTTAGCCATGACGCTAGATCTTCTGCAAACCAGTCTTCCCCATGAAGTATCTTTATTGTATTTTGTGATTGTGACAACAAATATTTATTGAATACCATTTTCTTATGCAGAGTTTATACTTCAGTAAAAAATGAGATAAGGAGACTATTCTTCTGGATTATACAGTGATAAATGGAGTTCCTCTGGTTTGTTCCAGTAGAGACTATGCCATATTTGAAGATTCAGAAAGAGCAAGATGCTTGGTGAGGTTGAAAAGAAATAAAGCAACAACACTAGTTGAGAGAAAGTGGTAGGACATGAGGCTAGAAAAGTGTGTAGGGGGCTGTGTCCTGCAGTGTTATGTAGGCAGCGTTCAAATATTTGGAAGTTTGGATGTAATCCTAAGAGCAATTGGGTTTTAAAGGGAGTAGCATGAGGTTTTGATTGTGTGTGCGACATGATCACATCTGTGTTTTGGAAATTTATTTGGTTACTCTGTAGAGAATGAATTGAAAAGGGGAGATGAGGCAGAAAACTAGCATTACATTAGAGGGTGATAATGGGTGGAGGAGAAAGGTAAGAATGATGATATAAGAGACTGATTTAAGAGATATTTACTAGGTGTATCCAATAATAGATACTGATTTTACTGAGTTTGGATAGAGGGATTAGGTCAGGCATCAGTTGTGATGGGTTCAGGAATGAACAGAAAATGAATACATGCTATTATGTGTAGTTTAGCTGAAAGAGAGGAGGTAGTTACAGAGGAGAGGGGCTCATGTTTGAATGTTGATGGAACATTTCAGTAGAGAGGGGAAGAAGTTTTTTGCACAGGTATGCCATGTGCAATACAAGTTTTTCAGCAGTTGACTTCCTTTTACTCCTCACTTTGTTGAGCCTCAATTTCTAGGTGGTCAAGTGGAGGTTAGTATCAATGATTTTCAGAACTTGCAACTGCATTTTTAATTTTTTTTTTTTTTTTTTTTAGATTTTATTTATTTGAGAGAGACAGAGATAGTGAGATAGAGAGCACAAGTGGGGAGGAGAGGGACAAGCAGGCTCCCCACAGAGCAGGG